GATAAGATCAACATTAAAAACTATAGTATGTATAACTATTATGCTCAGACTGATAGAGAATCTGGTGATACTTCTATAGCAATCAACATTTAAATATATTCACAGCCAAATAAGTTTTAAAACAAATCTACCCCCAAACTATCAGTTACAACCTTTCGAACTCAAAAAATTAACAGATATGACTATCATCCAAAAATGCACATTAATATGATAAGAACAAGAGATGCATAAAACCAAATTGTTAACGATTTAAAAATCATATAAGAGATTCTGAACTACCATTAAATATAGTAAAACCTACTACTATTTCTGAAATACCACCATGAAAATTAATAAATCCCTATCCGAACTAAAGAAATCAAAAACAAATCCTCTCGTTTTTCAACAGAAAGAAAGAGGGCGTGCAAAGCGAGGACAATCCCCCGCTCTGAAACAATATTTTTCTCATTTTTCAAAGTTCACGGAAAAGTTATATTTTTCTATAATTATGTTTCCAGTAAAGGCATCTTCAACACATTTGATTCATTAATTTTATTGAATGACTTTTTGGTTGATAATTTGTTTTTAAAGTTTCCAGTTAAGCATATTTATTAGAAAATGGGTTTATTGGAGCCATAAAAAATAATTTTTGAATATGAATGGGTCAAGTCTCCATTCTACATTAACGTTTAGATGACGGAAAAGTAAATGTAAAATCTATTTTATGTTTCTAAAAAATGGAATCTGAACCCATTCTTAATGAAAATCGAACATTTCTGAAAAAAAAATTGTACGCTTCAACAAACTTGTTTATTTAAAATCACACTGACACGGATCAATGACACGAAGACTTCGTGGCGTAGTGGTTAACGCGTTCAGTCTTACGCATAACCGTGAGCTTTGGAGAGAGTTCGAATCATGTTTGAAGCTTTTTTTTCACATACCTTAAAAACATATGTGAAAAATAAATTATTTATCAATAAGTTATTCAATAAAATAAAGGAAGAAAATGTGTAAAAGATTATATTGAAAATACAATGTTTGAAATAGATATCTTAATATGAACTTTTAGAACTGAGAAATGTCTTTTTTCAGAGCGGGGGATTGTCCTCGCCTTGTACGCCTCCATTCTTAACCAAAATAAAACAATCTAAACATCTTACAATACAGATTTACAAAGATTGTTCGAAGGACAGAGATAGGGTTGCTGCCGCTGCAGTGGTCAATAATAATGTTTTTCTACACGACTTCCGAACGAAGCAACGATTTTTGCAGCCGAAGCAAGAGCTATACAACTTGCTTTTGAATATATAATAACTTCTAATATAAATTCTTTTACAATATTTTTTCAGACTCGCTCTCATGCTTACAGTCCATACACAATATGAACACTGATCACCCATACATTTTGGATATAAATTAAGGTCTATCATATCATAACAAGGTAAAATGTTGAATTTTGTTGGATCCCGACTCGTACATGTATTGGTATTGCGGTAAAAACAAGGCCAATAGTTCTGCAAAAACTGCACTTGAATATGAAATTGTACCGTTCAAAATTCCTTACACCGATCTCAAGTATATAGAAAAACTTTAGTAGATTCTCTTTGGCAAATATTATGGGATATTATATATATATTTGGCAAATATTATGGGATAATATATATGATTTAAATTTTAATCATTTAGTGTAAGAAAAAAAGATGATTGCCTTTAAAAATGACTTTACATTGTTCAAAATTTAAATGTAACGTCAGGCGGATCGATACTTTTTATACGCAAGTCATTGTAAGGTAGGCAACCTAATTTATACGATATAAAGTAATTTTTTTTTATCCAATCGAATATATATATATATATATATATATATATACACGAGGGGTGATCAAAACAATCTCTTTATTTACAATACCACTATTCATTTGCTCACATATTGTCATAAACATGTTCTATAAATAGCAGATGTTACGTAATATTTTGCTCCATGTTTGTGACGTCACAATGTGAAAATGACGTCAATATGTAGATGACGTGACAAAAAATGGCTGACTCAGTCGTACTCGAGCAACGAACTTCTATAAAGTTTAACGTATATCTTGGAAGTTCCTTTGCAGTAACATATAATAATTTGCACAAGGTTTATGAAGATAAAAGACTTGCCAGAAGTTCAATCATTTATTGGATTGATTGTTTTAGTGAAGGAAGGGAGACGGTCAAAAATGGTGTTTGTTCTGGTGCCCAGTGAAATTATTCTGGGGAAGAAATGTGTCCTTAGTTGAGCAATTTGTTATGAAAGATCGCCAAGTCACAGTTAGAAATATAGTTGAATATCTTAAGAATATTATAATTATTAAATCCCTAAAATACCGTTTACTTTAGACTTAAAACATAGAAGATATGATAAAAAGAAGACGCCTGTACGTTATCCACAATGAAAAAAACGACGTACCTAAGACAGAGAAGTGGGTTGTGATGTTCACCATGCTCATTCGGGGGAAAAATATCCTTATCCACCCATCCTATTGCCGAGATTTGGCCATTTGTTACAAATGGACTATTCTCGTTTTAAAAAATAACTTGCATGGTAAGAAATATAAGACTCGGAAAAATCTTTTAGCTTCTGTCAACAGAATGCTACGGAGCATGTCACGTGACCGCCTGGATCACGTGATTCCCGCAAGGGGAGAACGGTGGCAGATGTGAATTAAAATCGGAGAGGACTACTTTAAAAATATATGACTGCCATATATATATATATATATATATATATATATATATATATATATATATATATATATATATATATATGGCAGTCTTGATTTTCCATGTTTTTCTTTCCTTAAGATGTCAGTATTAGTGAAAACTAAGCTACATATTTTGTATAGCTACACTGTGTTACCACAGTAACCATGAAATTTACTTTTAGAATAATATTACTTTAAACTTTTACATCAGGTCAAATTCTTGCTTTGGTGATCGAGTTTGATCATCGTACACCTATCATTCGTAAATATTTAGCGTTTTCCAGCATTTAAAATGTATGCCAAATGTATTCAAATGTGTGAACAAATTACTTGGGGTATATATTCTGAAAAAAAAAAATCATCTTCATCGTATTAAAGAGTGGTTCTTCTTAGTCCTTGTTCAAAGTGGCTGAAAATCTCAATTTTTCAAACATCTGCCGGCTGTTACAATGGCAACCAAAACAAATAGCAACCAAATTAAATTTAAATTATGTTTTTGGTGCCAAGCTTTAATAATGAGCAAAATTTAATCAAAATCGGTAAAATGTAACTGGATTCAGTGAATAGCTCTCACATATGAATCAAAAGAGTACATGCACTCTACTAATACGTTTTATGTAGGCGAAAACGTTTTTCGCATAACACCCATTTAATTTTGAACGAAAGATGCTCAGGCGACCTTCACATAAAAGCTCTAACTGATGGAAATCTGGAAGTGGCATGCAAGCATCGTTTTTTTTAACTAAATGCACAGGTCACAAAACACCCTTAAAGTAAAAGTAGGGAATTTCCCAATTTCAGGATATGGACTTTAAACAATTTGATAAAATTATTTGCGAGTTCAGAAACTATTTTGCTTTAATACACTTCTTACCAATTCTCAAAATAATGAGGGGTATGCACTCATACTTTTCTCTACCAGAAGAGGTGTTACTTTTATCAATTGTTTACATCGGTCCGTCACTTATTTTTCCAATTTTGAGGGATTCAACTTCGAAATATTGGAATTTCTTGACTGTAAACTGTTGAATATAAAAGAATTGCAGACACAGTTATATTTTTGATGGAATTTAAATCTTTTCGTTGGGTCGTCCGCGTGGCGCAGTGGTTAGAGCGTATGCTCTATAGTAGTTGATCCTTACGTCGCGGGTTTAAATGCACTGCGGGACGTGGAGGCCGGTCCTTCGGATGAGACCGTATAAACCGAGGTCCCGTGTCGCAGTAGGTATTGGCACGAAAAAGATCCCTCACTGCTCAGTGGCCCAGAGTGCCGAGTATAGGTCAAAATTTGCAGCCCTCCACCGGCAGGTGGTGTCTCCATATGAGGTGAAAAATTCTGGAGAGGGACGTTAAACAACATTAAAACAAACAAAACCTTTTGGTTGGAATTAACATTCATTTCCGTCCAAAAATGTTCTCTTCTAGAATACTGGAGGTGAAAGCTAATTTAAGTATCAATATATAAGAACCATTTTCTTTAGGCAGAGTACATGCAATGTTTGAATTTCATTTATGTGAATTTGACACCCCTTCCCTCTCAGAGTGATCGCCCCTAATGTCCTATTTTCTCTTTTATATTTGTACACAATTATATACATGTACGTGTATAAAGGGGTTACAAAAGTATTATATGAATTTTGTAAAATTCAAACATGTACATGTATTATTCAGATTAATCATAAAACGTATTATTTCATATCTTGTTTCTCAGTGTATTGGACCAGTTCAGATAAAACGACGAAGAGTTTACAAAAATCAATTTTAAAAGTATCAAATCATAAATTTATTATTCTACGATTTCTATGTTAGAGGCTTTTGTGTCGAACAATATATCTGATATTTGATTATTTTCAATGAAACTTTTCAAAATTTATGAATGTTTTATTAAAACAAGGAAGAATATTTCCAATGAAACTTTTCATATTTATGAATGTTTTATCAATTTAGTTATTAAAACAAGGAAGAAAAGGGAACATTTACTCAAACAATGAATTGAAACGTCTGTTTAGAATTGAATTGTAATCTGGATCATTTAAAAAAAAAAACTCGAAAATTTACATATATCGATAATCTAGGTCGCTTCTTTAGGAAATAAAAAAATCTGGTTTGAAGCAATTCTCACTAGACCCAAGATATCCCAACAAATAATAAATAAAAATAACAAAGAAAACTTGACAATTTTTCTATTAGCACGTCGATGGTAAATCGGTTGTGTAATCAATGTTATACGTCAGTGCAGTGCTGAGAGAGAGCTGTTGAGAGAGAAGGAGTGTGTGTCACTGTCATCTCTCGGCGGCGGGAACCGACGCGCGCTTTATTGATCACAGACACAGCAGCCAAAGACCTATTCTCTGCTTTTACAAGGTATGTTTATCTGTTTGCTTTGTTATCGCTTAACAAACTAATTGAATGTTAAGTAATTCTGAATTACTTGTTTTTTTTCTCCCGACAACAAAGAGGCTTCCTCTAATGGAAGAAAATTCAGTAAGTGAATTCAGTTCATTATTAAACAAAAGAAGCTATGAACATTTCTTCCCGTGAGGATTCAAGCACCGTGTTGCGTGTTAATGAATTAGTCCATAAAACGCTGTCTGCAATCGGAATAGTTCTAGAAAACACGTGCAATTATTATTACCCATCAAAGAGGATGCCTATTAGTCTCTGTTTCCTTTGGAACAGCTCTCTTTAAATTAGATACTGCAGACAATGAAAAAAGGTTTTCCTATAAGAAGCCCAAAACTTCCGTGATCTAAACAACTGATTTTTAAGGCATTCCCCACAGATTATTACTGGAAATGCTCCAATGCAACAACTTTACTGCACACCAAGTATGGCAACAGTTCAGTATGTCTTTGATAAACTTAATATCTTGCATAGTTCAACGATCTATAATATAGTGAAACTGATATAAATTTAATAAATTGTGGCAATCAGTTACGGTACCTATAATTTCAGATGATGTGTTATTGAAATAGAAAAATCTTTTTTAGTTTGAATTCAGGCGTAATGTCAACGAGATTTGGAAGTAATTATTGCTTGGACGATGCCGAAGAATCGCCCCCTTTACGTCGGCGACATACGTTTTCAATGTGAGTATTTACATGTAAATTAATTTTGATCGTGTTTTCGCCGCTTATTTTTTTCAAAAATTTACTATCAAAACGAATAAAAGTGAACCTCTTTAGTATGAAACATACAATAACTGTGGACTTACCTTACGCAGGCACTAAATAAGTTAACCGTGACTTATACAGGGTATTTCGCAGACTCTAACGTTGATTTTACTTTCATTACATTAACAAGCGTGGGGAAGAATGTGTGTGCTTGGTAGGAAGACTTGAATCACCCGTCTTTCATCGGCATACCTGAATGTGTCTGGTTTATGATAGCTTTTAAGCTGTACCTAGCCTATCACAGGGTTTTCAACAAAAAAGCTTCCATGTACAACGTTTGATTTAATATTTCCGATACTTCACCTAATATATAAGGTTTTGCCAAAGGCCAAGATGTCCAAAAATTTATTTTTACAATAGCTCCAAAACTATGTGAGGTATAACGTTAAAACGTTTACCGTTTATAAATATATCATTGATTAACAGATAGAAATTATCACTTGAAAACAAATATTTAAAAAAAAACATTTTTGAGGGGAAAAAAAATCAAAAAATTTGCATATTTAAAAAAAATGCACCTCATTAATTCTTTAGTTTGAGTGAAAACCATCATTGCAGAAATTATATATGGTTATCATTGAAGGGCAAGTTGGACGTGAATGGTCTCTGAAAGGCTGTCATTGAAAGCATGACATGTATAAAGACAAGACCCCTATAAAATCCGCCATTTGCAATGTACTTTCGGTTTCAAATCTTAACATTTGGACAAAATAAACAGGGAAAACAACTTTTCAGAGGCTATCGAAGTCCAACTTGCCCTTCATTGATAAACATATATTGTTTCTGCAATGATGGCTTTCACTAAAAGTACGGAATTAATTAGGTGTATTTTTTTTAAAATATATGCATTTTTTTAAAAAGAATTTTTCTCGATAAATATTTTTTAAAAGTTTTTGTAATCAAGTCATACTTTCTATCTGTTCATCAATGATATATTTATTTACTGTAAAAGTTTTAACTTTATAAATCACATAGTTTTGGAGCTATTGTAAAAATAAATTTTTGGACATGTTGATCTTTGGTAAAACCTTAATGCTTCAGTGACTGAAAATGTCTGCTGCTGTTAGAAAATCGGATTTCCGAAAACGAATCGAGTTTAGGACCGTTCGGGTGTCTTGGTATTTCAAAATTCCTTGTCAAAGGCAATACACGTGTGAAATATGAAAGCTCTGTTTGTTATTACCAACGTTATTTTTTATTTTTTTGGTGGTGGGGGGGGATAGATCAAATTTAAAAGTTAATAGGTCAAAAGTCATGGTACATCTTGTCACGGGTTTGAACTACCAAAATACGAAGGTCCTATCTTCTCTCATTCAAAAGTTTTGACCAGTGATAAAGTTTGTGACAGACAGATGGACAGACAGACGAATGAAATTAGATGTATTCGCGCTTTTGCGAAAGCAGGAAACAAAAACCAGAAACAGTTGATACATATTTAGCTCCTTTGTGAATGTGGGGTTCCGAAAATATGCTGCCATTTTAATGAAAATCCTTACTTATAAAATACGTACATCAACAAGCTCAACCACAAAACCGATGTCTAAGAAACCGAAATTTTTTTGGTGCTGAATACTCTTCAAATATCCTGCATTTGAACTCAGATTTATATATTTTGTCTATTTTACGAATCATACTGCTCGCCCGCGTGGCGCAGTGGTTAGAGCGTTTGGTTTAGAGTCGGGGAGTCAGGAGCTGATCCTAACGTCGCGGTAGTGACGTGGAGACCGTTCCTTCGGATGAGACCATATAAACCAAGGTCCCGTTTCGCAGTAGGTGCTATCACGAAAAAGATCCCTCATTTCTCAAAAGCCGTAAGTGCCAGGTCTAAAACTGCAGCCCTCTACCAGCAAGTGGTGGCGTCTCAATATGAGTGAAAAATTCTCGTAGAGACGTTAAACAAACAGACAACCAAACAAACGAGTTATACTGTTTTCTCTTTTGTTTTGTAAATTGTTTTTCTATCCGTGTGTGTGTTTTGTTTTGTTTTTTTTTATTTTTGAATATGAATGAGAATTAAAATTAATGCGAAATGACCCAATGCAAACTGTTGAAATATATATATATATATATATATATATATATATATATATATATATATATATATATATATATATATATATATATTAAAATTTATACATCTGTTTTGAAAGGTAAAGAAAGAGGGCGTACAAGGCGTCAATAATCCCCCGCTCTGGGACAATATATTTCTCAATTCTCAAAATTCACGGAAAAGTTATATTTTTCTATAATAATATTTTCCGTTATGTCATCTTCAACAAATTTGATTCAATTATTTTATTGATTGACTTTTTAATTGATAATTTTTTTTAATGTTGACAGTAAAGCGTTTTTAGTGGAAAATAGGTTCATTAGAGCCTTAAAAAATGATTTTTGAATATGAATGGGTCAAGTCTCCATTCTTCATTAACGTTTAAATGACGGAAGAGTAAATGTAAATTAAATCTATTTCATGTTTCAAAAAATGGAGTCTGAACCCATTCTATGTGAAAATCGAACATAACTGAAAAAAATGTTACCCTTCAACAATCTCGTTTATTTAAATCATACTGACACATAAATATAAGCAGACTTCGTAGCGGAGTGGTTAACGCGTCCAGTCCTACGCTTAACATAAGTTTTGGACAGTGTTCGAATCTTGCGTACAGCTTTTTTTTTTCTTTTTCACATACCTTAAAAAACATTAGTGAAAAATAAATTATTTGACAATAATTTATTCAACAAAATTTAGGAAGCAAATGTGTAAAGGGTTATATTGACAATGTAATTTTTTGAAAAATATAACTTTTCGTGAACTTTTAGGACTGAAAAATGTCTTCTCTCAGAGCGGGGGATCGTCTGCGCCTTGCACGCCTTCATTCTTAAATGCTTTAAGTTTCGTGTTCAGTCATCATATTTAATCTCATTGCAGATATTCTTTAGCCAGCAATCCTTAGCATTTAAGTTGAATATATAACTTTCAGTATGCTTTAAAGCAATTTATTTCAGCAGAAATTAGTAGGTCGCAGATATTTTAGGTATGATGTTACCTTTACTGATGTGAAAATAGAAAACTTTTGATTCACAAGAAAGAACATGAATCATTCAAATACTATCCTCCTTTGTATGAAATTGTTCGTTGTAGCAACCATCCTCATCTGGCTTCATATGAACCTTGAAATTTCATCAGAGTGCTGATTCAGTACAGTTTTTTTTAATATTTTAAATATTAATGCTGTAATATGAAGTATAAAAAGATGAACGACTTCCAAATAACATTGCAAAATTGGGCAAAAAAACAAAACAAAACAAAACACACACACGGATAGAAAAACAATTTACAAAACAAAAAATAAAACAGTATAACTCGTTTGTTTGGTTGTCTGTTTTTTTAACGTCTCTACGAGAATTTTTCACTCATATTGAGACGCCACCACTTGCTCCTGGTAGAGGGCTGCAGTTTTAGACCTGTACTTTGCACTTACGGCTTTTGAGCAATGAGGGATCTTTTTCGTGATAGCACCTACTGCAAAACGGGACCTTGGATTATATGGTTTCATCCGAAGGAACGGTCTCCACGTCACTACTGCGACGTAAGGATCAGCTCCTGACTCCCCGACTCTAAACCAAACGCTCTAACCACTGCGCCACGCGGGCGAGCAGTATGATTCGTGAAATAGACAAAATATATAAATCTGAGTTCAAATGCAGGATATTTGAAGAGTATTCAGCACCAAAAAAATTTCTGTTTCTTAGATATCGGTTTTGTGGTTGAGCTTGTTGATGTACGTATTTTAGGTCACCTGAGTCACTCAGGTGACCTATTGCTATCTGTTTTTGTCCGTCGTCGTCCGTCGTGCGTTAACTTTTGAACATTTTTAACTTCTTCTCTAGAACCGCTCAACCAATTTCAACCAAATTTGGTATATAGCATCTATGGGTGAAGGGGAACAAAAATTGTGAATTTCATGGTCCCTGCCCCCCGGGGCCTGAGGGGTGGGGCTAAAACCACCAAAAATAATGCAATCTTTAAAAATCTTCTTCTTTACTCCTGGACATGAAGCAGTCAAACTGTTGGCATCATTGTAATAAGCATTGAGCCCTCTACCAAAATTGTGAAATTCATGGCCCCAGGGTCAGGGGTTCTGGCCCCAGGGTGGGGCTATATAGATCATATAGTGAAAATGCATTAATTCTTTGAAAATCTTCTTCTCTGCTCCTGGGTATTAAATAAAGGAACTAAGTACATAGTTATGATGAGCAAGAGTGCCTCTTCCAAAATTGTGAAATTCATGGCCCCAGGGTCAGGGGTTCTGGTGTTAGGGCGGGGCTCTATTGATTATATAGTGAAAATGCATTAATTCTTTGAAAATCTTCTTCTCTGCTCCTGGGTATTAAATAAAGGAACTAAGTACATAGTTATGATGAGCAAGAGTGCCTCTTCTTAAATTGTGAAATTCATGGCCCCAGGGTCAGGGGTTCTAGTGTTAGGGCGGGGCTCTATTGACTATATAGTGAAAATGCATTAATTCTTTGAAAATCTTCTTCTCTGCTCCTGGGTACTAAATAAAGGAACTAAGTACATAGTTATGATGAGCAAGAGTGCCTCTTCCAAAATTGTGAAATTCATGGCCCCAGGGTCAGGGGTTCTGGTGTTAGGGCGGGGCTCTATAAATTATATAGTGAAAAAGCATTAATTCTTTGAAAATCTTCTTCTCTGCTCCTGGGTATTATTTAAACAAACTTAGTGCATGGTTATGATGCATAAGGATGCCTTTTCAAAAATTGTGAATTTCATGGCCCCAGGGTCAGGGGTTCTGGTGTTAAGGTGGGGCTCTATTGATTATGTAGTGAAAATGCATTAATTCTTTGAAAATCTTCTTCTCTGCTCCTGGGTATTAAATAAAAGAACTAAGTACATAGTTATGATGAGCAAGAGTGCCTCTTCCAAAATTGTGAAATTCATGGCCTCGGTGGTCAGGGGTTCTGGTGTTAGGGCGGGGCTCTATTGATTATATAGTGAAAATGCATTAATTCTTTGAAAATCTTCTTCTCTGCTCCTGGGTTTTAAATAAAGGAACTAAGTAAATAGTTATGATGAGCAAGAGTGCCTCTTCCAAAATTGTGAAATTCATGGCCCCAGGGTCAGGGGTTCTGGTGTTAGGGCGGGGCTCTATAAATTATATAGTGAAAAAGCATTAATTCTTTGAAAATCTTCTTCTCTGCTCCTGGGTATTTAATTAAGTAACTAAGTACATAGTTATGATGAGGAGGTGGGCCTCTTCCAGAATTGTGAAAGCCATGGCCCCTGGGTCAGAGTTCTGGTGTTAGGGCGGGGCTCTATAAATTATATAGTGAAAAAGCATTAATTCTTTGAAAATTTCTTCTCTGCTCCTGGGTATTATTTAAACAAACTTAGTGCATGGTTATGATGCATAAGGATGCCTTTTCAAAAATTGTGAATTTCATGGCCTCAGGGTCAGGGGTTCTGGTGTTAAGGCGGGGCTCTATTGATTATATAGTGAAAACGCATTGATTCTGTGAAAATCTTCTTCTCTGCTACTGGAGATTATCTAAACAAACTAAGTGCATGATTATGATAGACAAGGATGCCTCTTCCAAAATTTTTAAATATATGGCCTCAGTTTTTGGGGTTCTCGAGGAGGGGGGGGGGGGGCTAGGGCAACAATTCTTCATCTATCAGTGTATTTAAATTCTAAATTGTTGTATTATACTCAGGTGACCGTTAAGGCCCTTGGGCCTCTTGTATAAGTAAGGATTTTCATTAAATGGCAGCATATTTTCGGAACCCCACATTCACAAAGGAGCTAAATATGTATCAACTGTTTCTGGTTTTTGTTTCCCGCTTTCGCAAAAGCGCGAATACATCTAATTTCATTCGTCTGTCTGTCCATCTGTCTGTCACAAACTTTATCACTGGTCAAAACTTTTGAATGAGAGAAGATAGGACCTTCGTATTTTGGTAGTTCAAACCCGTGACAAGATGTACCATGACTTTTGACCTATTAACTTTTAAATTTGATCTATCCCCCCCACCACCAAAAAAAAAAAAAAAAAAAAAAATAACGTTGGTAATAACAAACAGGGCTTTCTTATTTCACACGTGTATTGCCTTTGACAAGGAAGTACCAATTAAAATTTCGACATCAAATTTTGACCTACTTTTCAAAAACATTGGTAATAACTTTAATGAGAGAAGATATGGCTTTCATATTTCACTTGTGCATTATCTGTGCCAAGATAAATGATTTATTCTACATGTAACTACATGACTTGAAGTTTTCAAAATCTTGACCGCAACTTTTATACAAGAATGTTCAAAAGTTTGACATTTTTTGCATGGTGAAAAGACATGACAGTTAAGATATGCTATAAAACACTGCACCTCGACCAATAAGACCCTAACCACAATTCTCTGAAATTGCTTGTTCTTATACAGATTCTCAACATCTGACGAGAAATCTACATGCCAGCGAAAGCTTTCAAAGAAGATATCAGGTATGATATTGGTTAGCAAAAGCTCTTTGAAGTAAACTCAAATGGATTAAACTTTTTTCCAGAAAGGAAATATCAAAGAAAGTTAGACATGTGAATAATTACCTGAATATTTTAAGGACACAGAGGAACATATGTGGATATAAGCTTTCATCAAATCCTTGATCAATAGCACTTATTGGAAACTTTATAGCCTATTCCAAAATGTCATATGCATATGACGATCTCAAGTTGCCTTGGAGATACGAGCGGGGGATATTAATTTGGGTTTGTTCGTCCGTCCGTCTGCCCTTCTGTCTGTGTATAACACGTTAGTTTCTGTGCGATATATTTAAAAAATCCTGTACCTTTTGCAATGACATTTTATATTATATAACAAAGAGCAGACACCTTTAAATTTGTTTAATTAATTTGTTGATTTATACATAGAATATCTCTAACGTGCAAAATTTTTTGGCCACTGTTAAAACTGTTTCAATTTCCTTTAGCCGAACCTTAAGCAGGGGACATAAATTTCCGGAACTAGCTTGTTGTGTTTATTATCAGCCTTCACAATTCATTATCTAAAGGTACCTAGATTAATAAAAAAAGGGGAAACAATTCTACTGGAAGCCATGTAATTAAAATGATTTTTAGAACACTCAGGAAATTAACAAGGTCGATCTTTTAAAACCGAATTGCGAATGGAAAGAGGAGTTATACATAATTGTGATGAAATACATAATTATGATGCAGTAGCTTAATGATTTGATGATTATTGTGGGTTATACGTTCAAAACCTATTATACGCAATTACTGTAGTATAAAGTGAAGCATTCGTTTAAACATGTAGCTTTTATTAAAATAATGTAGTTTGTTAACCTATTACATGCAATTACTGTAGAATAAAATAAAACAATTTCAGAATATCTTATTAGATCATGTAGTTTGTTCATTTCATTAATGGTAGTACCACCTTTCATTAGTAAATTTATTTCTGTGTTCAAATCAAATATTATTAGTTGAGAAAATACGTTACTTCACTCTCTTTTAACTGTAGGAGATGAGCATTGGAGGAAAATTCATACAACAAATGAAACGCCTGTTATTTTTCATTCAAGACCTCATCGTCTTTCATTCCGACGATCCTTAAAACGCTTAAAAATTCCATTTCGAAAAACTCGATTAAAGGAAGAAACCAAGCAAGTTCAGAAATCCCGTACATCTTTATTTCGTCGGTTTTACATATGGGTTCATTCCAAATGCCGTATAGAAAATAGACACAAAAGTCGTATTGATGAAAATTGTGCAAATCTTCATCGACATGTTACCAGGACGATTGCAGTTGATACGCTATCCCACGAGGAAAATAATCGTACTCACTGCTATCGTTATGAAGAAACAATCCACTTAGATCCCGTTGGGAATGATGTGAATTATGTGTATATATGTAATAAATCACCAGAAAATGCTTCATTACACTCAAAGAATGAATCGGGTGATTTATCCCCCATACGACCGGCTCCTTCAAATACACTTCATGTATCAGCAATACATGTGCGAGTAAAAGACGTTTCTCCAGAAAGACAACCATTGGGGGCTACTTCCAGCTGTCCCCCAAGGAAAAGCAGTGGTGTTGGTTGTTTAAATATCAACTTTTATGGAACATGGCCACTAACGAGAAGAAAATTAGATGAGAAAGGTATGTTTTGAATTTTGAGGTGTATTTAATATTCTTTGTAAAATGGAAAGGATAAAATAAGCAATTTACATAACTAGCATGTCATACAAAATAACTGTATTCAGATACTTTATTTCTAAGAATGTCTCAGTTGTATTTGTACTTTTTCTATCATTAGGTATTTCAGAGAGTAAAATTAAAATCCCCTGTTGTTGAATTCCTTTATTTTACCTTGACTTCTTAACAAATGAAATATATTGAGGAAATTTATTCAAGATGCCAGAGCAAACACCAAAGTGGTAACAAAAATATCTCACCATAATAAGACCAGAATATCCATCATTCATAAGGAAACAAAGTAAAAATATTTCTAGAAATTTAGAATTCATGTACACATCCTGTATTAATGTAAAAGGCACTCCAGTGTGTAACTATATTGTGTACAGACAAAACGAAAATATTCAATATCATAGGGAAAATAAGTTTTATGTTAAACACCCTAAGTAGTAAACTTCATATTAAGAACACTGTTCGAAATCGAAACATTCTTTAATATTTGTTCTTGATATGCATAAAGAGAGAGTGTGTGTGAGGGTGTGTGTGTGTGGAATAAGTATACCTTAGACAGATATTTGCAATTCCTTTGTGGGAATAACTATTGACTAAGGAATAGCAAGTTCCCATTATTTTAGTCATTGACCGAAATCTGTATCAAAATATTTTAAAAAACCTTTTATTGATCAAACTAACACATAATGAAATGCATATATATCACAGTCAATATGTATACAAATTCAATATACATCATTTTAAAAACAAATGAACAAAAGATATCCTTTTGTTTCCTTCAAAATAGAATTTCTTTCTCTTAAATTTCCATCTTCCCGTTGTGTTCTGCCATACATAGTTAATAATAATTGTAATAAGTATAGTGATACTAGTTATCGATAGTTCCTAGATACCAGTAAATAGTTTTATTACTAGATATCGGTAAATAGATATACTAGATATCAAATATGTTATGAGCCTTTTTTCCATTTTATCCATTTTCTTTCATTGACCCTTTCTTTATCCATCAATGTGAATGAAATAAGCTCATTACTGCAAAACAGACACTCAAGATTGTGAGGAAGCACACATCTCTTCGGTGAGTCCGTGTTTGAAATATATATTTGTTGATCAGTCGATAAATATCTAATTAAATTTCCTGTCCCTAATTTAATAATAATAAATCACTCTTGTGGAGAAAAAGAAAGCTTTTCTATAAGTATCCTCCCTCGCACTTTTCCAGCTTTTGTAGTTTCCATAATCAGGTAAGCAGATTGTGTTAAGCTTAGCAATGATTTTTATATTAGGTAAATTCTGTTATATCGGATGAGATCATTAACTATTTAAGCTTAGCTCGAATTCTGTGGTAATAAAAATTCAGTCAATTTAGCTTCTTGTTTCACTTGCAAAACAGATTGCAAAGTTTGCTTGGTATCATTTTAAAGCATAAAAAAGGAAAAGAGTACAAAATAATAGTAAATTTCCAGGATTATTTTCTCACAGAACATTTTTTAAAGTTTAATTTAGACAAGTTTCATATTGATTTGCACAACCTATCCCTGAAATCAAAATGCCCAGATGTTAAATGATTTGTTCATATTTTTGTTTGAGAAAACAAACCACAACTTTTATTACAGACAATCATGATCATATTAAATATATATATATATATCATAACAGATAAATGATATTGTTCATTAAATGTTCTTTTATTATTGATTTTATTTATGGCCATTCGCCTTAATAGATACATATACTTGGGAGGGTGTTTTGTGTGGAGTCGGTGTTTTTTTTCTTTTTTAAAAAAAAATCCAATAACTTTTATTTTAATATCTAATAATTATCTGTGCCCATCTTTTTTATTGCTCTCTTATGAAGAATTTTGATACTATATGGAATGAAACCTATTATGTCGTTTGAATCCCAAGCGTTTTTGTAACATAATTGTGAGCTTCAATAGATGTATTAGAGTTCCTCCTTTAGCATTTCTGTCCTTTATGGATCGATATTTAATTTGTGGTGATTTAGAAAAATAGTTCAAATTTTTCATGAACAAAATATTTAATTGCACAAAGAAACGGAAATTTAGTATGACGTACACGGTAATCCACCAAATACTTCTCAAGACTATCGAAAAGTTCACGATTTGCAGCTTCAAAAAGTAGTCCTTTCTCATTTTCCATCCCTGTCTTCTGCTACGCATATAAATAAAAATGACAGGAAAATAAAACGAAAAGATAATGAGTAACAATACTGAAACATGTAATAAATGTAACACATTTGTAAAACGTGTAATAAATTCAATGCGAAAAGAAGGTAAATGCCACTGATAATATGATAATTATTAATTAATTAATAAAAATATATATGAGATGCAGGACTCGAATTCCCAAAACCATTAAGGAATGGAATACGAGATTCTTTTGAGGCTTTGGGTATTTCAACATCTGTTGGAGATGAGGGATGCTGGCGGGGCTTTGCCAAAATTATCTTTCTATTTTGATTCTATTATATCATTTGTATCGTATGAAGTACATGTATTGACTTTAGGAAGCTCTTACAAGAACTGAATTACGGTATCAGGTTTACGTCATTATAAACCGTATTTATGACCAAGCATATATTTATCCTGTACCGAGAGGGGTTAGTTGATTTAAGAAGGCTGGGAAATTGTGGCCATTTTCAGACTATATTGATCTCCTTTAGAAGAAGAGCTCCATATAAAGATATACAAAAATGATCAAATTTTAAAACTAAAATTTCTGAAATTTTTCTTTGCCAAATGAAAGTTGACAGCTTAAGATATCATACCTATAAAATTAAGTTATATCTGATGGTTAATTTGTTGACCCCAGAGCCTCCTTAAAGAAAACTGTACTTCAGGCGTGCATTCAGTTTGTTCAGTTCTGTTGTCACTTTTGACAGAAACAATATCAAAAGCTGCAATTGTCTTTCCATCCAAAATACAAAGAAGTTTACCATTTTGAAAAGACAAAAAATATAATAATGTCGTTTACTATAATTATTGAATTTGAAATTCATATTATGAGTACACAATTTAAATTAAAAATTAATAATTCATATTATGAGTACACAATTTAAATTAAAAATTAATAAAAGACAATAAGATATTTTCTCCAGCGTTAGCAATATTGTTAAAAGGGGGCAATAAAATCGGTCGTCCGGGGACATAGTTAAATTAATTTGGCCTCAGTCTACGCGGTAGCTATAAATCACACCCTAAAACACACTGCAAAGGAACTGCTGCTTATGTGAACTTAACAACCTTGCGAAATCACTTTATTCTAAAAAAAAAAATTGTTCTCATTGAGTAAATTTGCTTTTTTATTGCTTCTGGAAATATTATTATATCTTAATCATTTACAAAATACATGTATATGCTTTTCAAACTTGTGATTGCGATTCTATTAATAAAATACAATAATATATAGATTTGACTTTTATCCATCCGATTCCCCATTTATCGTCTGTTTGCTAAGAATATTCCTTACGCATATTATAATAAATTTATTTAATTTTTGTTAGAACCCATCAAGAAGTATTAAATCGAAATATTCAATATGACATCAAAAAGAGTTAGGCAGTGTTAACGACCTCTCTATTTACCAATTTTGATTCCCTACTGTACACTATCGGAAAAATAATCATATTTTGCTGATAACATGAAGGCAGTTTAATTGTTCAATTTTTTTCACTGTAATTTTGTTTTAGCTGCACTGGTCAAAGGCCAGAAGAGCTTATGTGATAGCAAGGTGTCCGTCTGTGTGTCTGTAAACAATTTTTCATAAATGCTATCCCTCCTACAGTTTTGATCTAATTTCAATATAAAATGGTACATAAGTAGACTACACTAAGATACGTAATTCTGTATATCATTTTTTATTTCGATGAACGGTGTTGCCATGGTTACTAAAATACAAATTTGTTAAATTTTTTCAAAACGCTATTCCTCCTACAGTTTTAGTCCCATTTCAATATAGTTGGGTACACAAGAAAACTACACTCAGATACATAATTCTGAATATCGGTTTTTTGATTTCGATGAAAGTTGTTGCCATGGTAAATAGATATAGAGATTTCTGAGAAATTCTTTAAAACTACTCCTACAATAGTTTTAGTCCAATTTCAATATAACCTGGTACACAGGTATACTACTCTTTGGTACATAATTCTGTTTAGTGGTTTTTGATTGATGAACGGTGTTGCCATGGGTATTAAAAACAAGAGATTCCTGTGAAATGCAATGAGTATCAAAAATAGATATTCCTGTGAAATTCTTTCAAATCACTCCTTCTCCTACAGTTTTGGTCCGATTTTAATATAACTTGGTGCACAAGTAAACTACATTATAGTTAAACAATTCTTTTTATCCTTTTTTTTATTTCGATGAACGGTGCTGTCATGGTTACTTAAAATAGAATATTTTGTGAAATTCTTCAAAACGCTACTCCTACTACATTTTTTATTCACTTGTAATTGAACTGGACTCAAAAAGAGATAAAAGAAGGATCATTATTTTATTTATTGCTGTTGCGATATTTTCAAGTCTAAGTGCTACCTTTCTCTACCTTTGTTAATTAACTAAAAACCAGTAGAGCTTAGTTGTATACAGTCTTGTCAAAGACTTCTGGTTAATTTAATGATATAAACAATAAACTATCAGTGGATCGGATTCCACTGAGAGTATAATCTGTGGGTGAACCCGGGACTCATAATCTAAAAGATGATGCGAATGGAATCTACAATGGTTAGTTACAATATTTTACACTAAACAAAGTCACTGTAATAAGAAGTACTTGCGGAGAACGCATTGCAATTCCTTTACTTCTGAAACCAAATCAATAGGAAGAAATAGAAAGACAATAAATCAGCTCTAATGTGAAAAAAGAATACAGCAGGCAGTAAACTGAAATATTATTGCAGCACATTATAAATAATCCATGTGTGTATCATTGACATTCTAATTACAGAGGAAGAGTGCGATCCTTCGTTCGAGAAACTCATTATTGACGCAAGGTGGGTGAAAAGCAAAATTACTATTATTAGCTTTTTCCTCATATAATTGTATAAGATAAACATTACATAATTATACAACTGATACTGTTAAATTGATTTTATCGCAAATCATGTTATTTAATTTCTTTCTACTCCGTTATTGTTAAGTTCCAAATTCAAAGATTGTATTTTTTCTCTTAAAACCTGATTTTGAATAACAATAATTCTTTACTTTCGTCATTCCCCAGCTATTAAAAATGTTTACTGATGTTTATTTTTTTCAAAAGCAGATTATCAATATATTGCTTAAGAAGCCTTTTATTTAAAAAAAAATACGTTTTGGTTAAAAATCATACACTTGCTGATTTTTACAGGAGTAAAAAGCATACTTTATATATTTAACAATTGTTGGGAAAAAGACTGTGTATGGTGGCCGTGTGATATTTTCCATTGAAAAGTAAAACACTTAATTGTAATGTCTAATAAAGTAAAGTCATTAGAATTACCTCATAGGACTGGGCATTAATACCGATATTGCGGTATGTTGACAAAAATATCGGATTGCAATGCCTTTTTGTAATACCGGTATACTGGCAAAATGCAGGGACTCGGGAGTTCTATCATAAAAGTCATCAGAAATGTTTGCTATCATGTCAAACAGTAAGACAAAAGTTGTTGTATGGGTGTATTTAGTTGCATAACTGTAATTCAATCAATAAGATATCTTTTATTGATTATTTATCATAGTTATGTACATTCTACATGTTAAAAGTAGTCAATATAATAAGAATATACCATTTCAATTTTTGTTGAAAATGTTATAACACATATAGCAATACAGTTAAAAATACCGCAATGCGAAATCTGTAGCCAATACCCAGCCTTATTACCTCATTTCACCGATGTAATTTTGATTAAATAACTTTCCATGTTCCAAGAGTCACCAAGGTTTTACATTCCGTAAAATTGATTAAAATGAAAGGAAGGAAAAAACAAATCGTTGTATTCCCTTTTTAGCTCACCTTACCCAAAAACTAAAATGAACTTTCTGATTGAAGAGTGCCTGGCATCAGTCTATTTTTCTGTTGTTTGTTTTCTCTAGGACTACTGAGCCAGCTTCAAATATACATTTTAATACTCGCCAGAAAGATTTTTTCTAATGAAAGAACACAATTCTTTTTCAATTCATTGATTGATTGTATGTTGTTTTACGTCCCATTTTAGAATTGTTCACTCATATAGAGACGTCACCATATACCGGTGAAGGGCTTCAAATTTAGACCTTTACTCGGCATCGTTTTTATCAAACATTTACATGTTTTTAACATTATACATGTACATTTATAGTAGTCTAAATTATGCATATACATGTAACAACAGGATGAAGGGCCTTAATGGTCACCTGAGTACAAAAATGTATAATACAACCCTGTAAAGGAGCTATGAAAAAATGAAGTTATGTTACCCCCCCCCCCAAAAAAAAGAAAGAAAAACACTAGAAAAAGGACGTAGTGTGATCAACAAAATAGTCTTAGACTAGTATTCAGCAACAACTCATACAGTGGTTCTATATATTTGTCTATTTAACCTTGCTAATACACTCTACTCTCATTTGCCACTATCACTAGACTAAACAACATAATTAGAAAGCTTGAGCAAATAAAAACAGTATACACATTATAAACCCAGCACAATCCCTTTCATATAGGCTTCTCTTAGTCTTTGAATAACGTTAATTATGCACTTTTGTCTCATTTTTATTTATCTATTATATCAAGTTTACTATACCATTAAAAACTATTAGCGTTTATCTACATATTATATTATATATAAAGGTTTTTTTTAGGTATAATTCTTTTAATCAATCTACCTATCAAGCACATTATTTACAGTGCTTAAATATCATAGGTGAATAACAAGGAATAAAACCGGTACCTCTTTCAAAGTAGAGTACATATATCAGTACATGACAAGATCAACAGAGGCCTGCTCAGAACCAGAACCCTTCATCCAGTGGTCAAGAATTTTTCAAATCTAGTAAAAATATCCTTGTTCATTACACTCTGAATGCCTGCTAGAAGTCAAGGAGCAGGAAAGATGATCAAAGAATTAATACATTTTCGCTATATGATCAGTTGAGAGTCTAGCCAAAAAAAAAAAAAAACACACACACACACAAAGTGTCATGAATTTAACAATTTTGGAAGAAGCATCTTTGCTCATCATAAACATGCTGCACTTCGTTTGCTAAATACCCAAGAGCAGAGAAATTTTCAAAGAATTGATGCCCTTTTATTAAATATAATTATAATCAATAAAGCCCCGCCCTACACCTGAGCCCGACACTGGGTTTCACAATTTTGGAATTGGCTCCTTTACTTAGCATAATTATGCACTGAGTTTATCTCCTAAATACCAAGAAGCAGAGAAAATTTTCAAAGAATTGATGCATTTTCACTATATAATCGATAGAACCCATCCCTAACACCAGAACCCTGACACAGTGGACAAGAATGTTACAATTTTGGGGGCAAAACACTCTTGCTGATCATAACCATGTACTAGTTTACCAGCTAAATACCCAAGAAGAGAAAGATTTCAAAGAATTAATGTATTTTGAAATTTCATTAAATAGAACCCCGCTCTAACTCTAGAACCTCTGACCCTTAATAGGACACGATCTCACAATTTTGGCAGAGGGCTAAATACTTATTATAACCATGCCAACAGTTTGACTGATTTAAGTCCAGGAGTTAAGAAGATTTTTTAAAGATGAAATATGAAGTTCACATTTGTTCCCCTTTACTCTTAAACCTATATGCAAAAATTTGTTGAAATGAATTCAGAAGATGAAAACGTACAGAAAGAATTAAGTTTACGACCGAAACACAACACACGAAGACGGATAAAAACAGATAGCAATAGGTGGGTGACCTAAATATAGTCTTGTTTCCTGTATAATTAGAGTATTCAAACCTTAACAAAAAACTATAGTTAACTATAGTTTACTGTAGTGTCAAAGTGTTTACTGTAGTAAAGTTTTAACTATAGTAAGGCAACGTTTTATTATCTGGTACTTTGGAGTTGTTATATTTTATGTTCTCCAATTCATACATGCAAATTTTCGTTATTAAATGAATGTATTGATTGTATTTTCACATTTTATGTCCAAGTTTTTACCTCATTGGTATTAAATTCAACAGATTTTAAGCATCGAAACCTCAAAAAAGTTCTAAGGTAAAGTTTCATAGTATATCATATTTACTGTAGTTAACTTAGGTAAATTTTTGTTAGGAAAGTACGTAAAGGAAGTAAATCCATTTTTTGAAACAGTACTTTGTCCCTCAATATAAACTTTTTCGGTAATACTTTTCGTGAAATTCTTGATACCGAAATAAAAAAAAAAGCGTAGTAAGTATGCTATACATGTATCTCTTCGTGCATCTCACTGAAATGTCAGAAACGTCATTTCCGGAAAATGAAATATTGGGCGAGGGAAACCTTGAAAGAACTATAATATTTTAACGATTGATTGATTGTATGTTGTTTAACGTCCCTCTCGAGAATTTTTCACTCATATGGAGACGCCACCACTTGCCGGTGGAGGGCTACAAATTTTGACCTATACTCTGCACCCAGGGCCATTGAGCAGTGAGAGATCTTTTTCGTGCCAGCACATACTGCGACACGGGACCTCGGTTTATACGGTCTCATCCCAAGGACGGGTCTCCACGTCCCACAGTGGGATTCGAACCCGCGACGTAAGGATCAACCCCTTAATCCGCGACTCTTAGAGCAGACGCTCTAACCACTGCGCCACGCGGGCGACCAATATTTTAACGAAAAAGACAGAATATTGCACTTCCGTAATTTTAGATGCAGGCCTTAGAGTTACCTGTCAAAAAGAATTTTATGACATTTCCAAAATTTATTATCATTAGACATTTTTGGAAGATATTTTTTTCGGAACAAAGTCGAACATATCGTGTTTTTCAGTCATCAAGAAGCGAATGTCCGTGTTGTTATCGTCCGCTGCGTGACCTCTTGTAATGAAACATCAGTGACAGCAAAAGAACACCAGGCATAAAATAATTTTTTTATATAATATCTAGAACAATATAATATCTAGATTAACAATAATGATGCAATGAGAATTTTAGTCGAAGGTGAGCGCATTTTTTTAGTGTGATATTGGGTTACTTTAATAAAAGATCCTCTGACTTAAATAACACGGTGGACAGTTGGGACAATTCAATATTTTGTATAAATAAATGCTTATACAATAAAAAAAAATCCTCTGTATTTAATGACACGATGGACAGTTGGCGGTAACACGAAGTCAAAATACGTTACTTGATTGTTTTACCCTAATAATACTTGACTGTTTTTGAAATAAATACATAGACACAATTGATAGGATCATCGGTATATTTATATAACCAAAAAAGCATCTGAAAATTACGTAAATGTATTTTAATAATCATAATGTGAAATTTCACAGCCTTAGTAGCAGCACGGACCGTGACGGTAAAATGAAGGATGTTTTGAGTATTTCATTTATTCTTAGAGGTCACTACTACATGACTGAGTTTCTAATAAATTTCATTGCCATTTAATCGGGGTATTCTAGGTTAGATTAATTAACGTTCTAAAATATTCGTTTTAGTTACTTGAGCAAAATATTGTTTAATTATTTTTTTCTCAAGAGAATAATGTCTTTGTCGGGCAGTGAAAAAAAAACTGAAATGATGTCGTCAGGATATTTTGTCCACCTAAGGTCACATCTTTTACGTAGAAATATCAAAACGATAGTGAAAATGAAGGAAAGTTAAAAAAAAAACTGTTAAATCTATAAAACAAAATAAACTAAGGGATGAAGATAATGTTAACCCAAAGCAAGCGAAATAGGACGATCAGAGACTAACAAAATAGTCTCGTATTGTAATTAAATATGAAGTAGATATTTTTACTTGCCAGCACTAAAAAAAAACCCTCTCATTTGTCACTATCATTATGCGAAC